TAACATTTAGATTCAGTTTAACAACAGGATACACTTTTTACTGTTTTAGCTGTGAAGTGAATCTCTCCTATAGATTCAGTTTAACAACAGGATACACTTTTTACTGTTTTAGCTGTGAAGTGAATCTCTCCTACTGCTAAAATACTCAAATTACAAAAGGTACTTTACCCTCTGCAGATTGAACCTCTTGGACTGAATTTGTTACTATTATAAAAACAATATATTATACTGTAATTTTATCAACATATTACTATCAGCTGCCATACATGAGAATTTTACCAGTACAGAGAGACACGAGACACATACATGAGAATTTCACCAGTACAGAGAGACACAAGACACATACATGAGAATTTCACCACTACAGAGAGACACGAGACACATACATGAGAATTTCACCACTACAGAGAGACACAAGACACATACTTGAGAATTTCACCACTACAGAGAGACACAAGACACATACATGAGAATTTCACTAGTACAGAGAGACACGAGACACATATATGAGAATTTCACTAGTACAGAGAGACACGAGACACGTACTCAAGAATTTCACCAGTACAGAGAGACACAAGACACATACATGAGAATTTCACCAGTACAGAGAGACACAAGACACGTACATGAAAATTTCACCACTACAGAGAGACAAGATCCATACCTTTAAAAAGGCATCAATATCTCCCACTGCTGGAATAAAATCTGGGATAAAAGGCTTTAACTTGTGATCCAGCTCTATGGTTTGAGTATTATACCTGAAAATTCATAAGTAAAAACATTTAGTTTAAGATGATGGATGGTTTATCCTTCAAACACCAACAATAAAGTTAAATGTTTTCACTTTTATAGTTTAAATGATGCCACTTGAGTAGTAGCTGTTGCAAATCAAATGATATAACTTTGTTTTGGTTTATTTTGAATTTCGCACAAAGCTACACAAGGGCTATCTGCACCAGCCATCCCTAATTTAGCAGTGATAGACTAGAGGGAAGGCAGCTAATCAACACCATCCACTGCCAGCTTTTACCAACGAATAGTGAAATTGACCATTACATTATAATACCCCTCTGGCTGAATGGGTGAGCATGTTTGGTATGAACCCGCGATCAACAGATTGCGAGTCAATCACCCAAACAACCAGGCCCATGATATTATTCTGGAAACAAAGACAAGTAACAATATATTTAACATTTATCCAAAACAGTTACTAACAGATCCTCCTATGCTCTGCAGGTATAATAGACATTCTTGTCAAATATCTATATTGGCTTTTAGTTTCACTCAAAAATATATATTACATAAATAGTATCAGATACACATAATAATGTGTGTATTTTAAATACATCAATTAAAAGACCTTTTAAGATTCTTTGTACTAGTGTTCTCATGAATAATATAATTTGATTTACTGGTATTCATCCAGTGCCCAACTGAGAGTGAGTAAATTCATTCAAAAAATTTACAATAAATGATGCAGAAAAGCACTGTTGATAGGATCCACTAGAGAGGTTTACTCTAATCTTTCTTTAAAGTTAGTTTTGTTAACAGTGTTGGTAGAAATGTCTTATTAATAAAATTCAATATTGTAATTTTATCATTATTTTGTATCTTTAGCTTAGTATAAAAATTTAGAACACAACTGTTTATGTGATCGATACATAAGTAAGGTTTACTTTGAATTAATAGTGTTGATAGGAATATTAAACTTGAACTTAATAAGTAGATTGTATAGTCACCAATATATTTATACAAGTGTTTCTCCAACAGGAAGTTGCCACCCATTTCACAGTCAACTCAATATTGAAATACATTTTTATTAATTTTAATTCATTACTGTTGGCTTACTATATGGATTTAGAATTAAATCTCATATGGTGGCCAAACCTTTCAAGATATTATTGGGTTTATGCCTGAAAATATCATCAACAGTGAAGGTAATCAAATGGTGAAACACTGATTACCTTTTTAAGTTGGAATATAATTATGTTAATTTTTCATGACTTTTTGGCAAGGGTTTGTTTGAAGTTCAGCACAAAGCTACACAATGGGCTATCTGTGCTCTGCCCACCACGGGCATCGAAAGCCGGTTTTTAGCGTTGTAAGTCCGCAGACATACTGCTGTGCCACTGGGGGCCATTTGGCAAGGGAAAAGGAAGCTAAAACAAAAGATGATTAAATATCTTTTTACAAAATGTTTTTAACTCACCAAAAATTAACAGTAAAACAGAATATATTGTATTATTTTAAGCTACAGCATAGCGGCTCATAGAATGATTCTGAGTTATTTTTCAAGTACAAACTTTTAGCTCATAATTTCATCATCTCTTGACCAATTTGAGATCCAATTACAATTTTGAACTCAGGAGGTCAAACCCTTTCCACTGATGTATTTGACCATGGTCTCATAGATTAATTTACTCTAATTCTGCCTAAAAGAACTTCAAGTGCATGGCTTCTTGTTTCAACTTATAAATATTACTGAAATGAATAACAAATACATGAATCTAAGAAGAAAAAAAGATTCTGTTGTTGCTGCTGTTATTTGAGGACTAAACGTGTGTTATATTTATGCATTTTTCAAACAGAATTGAAAGTTGGGATGACAAAAAACATTATAAGAACAATAAGACCTTGATATGGACTGGAACAATTCCTTGACTTCAACAGACACACGTAGATGTTCATAATCAGCAGAATCATATATCCTATTTTTAAAAAATAATTGTAATCAGTGATAATGTAAATGGCTTTATTGCATATCTCAAGTTTTTTTGCTAACTTTTCAAAACACAAAATACATTATTATCATCATCCAGTATAAAGAAATATGTTTTATCAGTTCTTTTTGAAAAGAATATTTATTGAAAACTTAAAAATATACCAATATTTATTAAAAATACAGAAACGTATAGCATATTTATTGACAGACTGTTTTTTTTTAAACACCAGAAAAACCTAAGAATCAGCAATACATTGAGACAACTGCATTCGTGAAGAGTTGTTGTTTGTTGGTTTGTTGCTGAGTGCAAAGCTACACACAATGGGTTGACACAAAGTTCAAATAGACAGATTATCAAACAAGAAGGTTAAGAATAACTCAGTTTTTATTCTGTTAGTCTAGCTTCTCAATCTTTGGAATTGTGAAATGAATTTCATTACAGTCTTCATGAATGCCCCCCTGTGACTTATAAAGGCTTATAATGCTAAAAACCGGGTTTCAGTACCCATTGTTGGTACAACACAGATAATTATTAAAATCAGGAATTAACCTGAACTGAAGTTTTTAGAAGAATAAAGAGATGTGATGTGTTCAGTAGTTATAAATATCATGCTGCCTTATGAGAACCTAAAAGTCAGGATATAACCACTTGACTTCTAGAAAGAACTCTACTTTCACCCTGTTATAAATGATAATCTTTTCATTATTGAACTTGATCAAATTATAAGGGAGAACATAACTCAAGGTAAATACAAAATTAAAAGATGAAATTCCAGTCAAATCTAAATCATTCTATCTAATGAAATTATCACATTTATAGAAGTGGAAGAACGAAGAAAGTAATACTTCTTGTTAAGGAGAGTCGAAAAGAGATAACTCAAAACAAATTTGATGCTTTTCATATGTAATAATACGTATAATTGTTTTCAATAATACACGTCAAAAAAGATTGTATTTGATAGCATATTATGATTTATACTCAAATACTTGAAGAGCAGTCTGCTATTGTACCAACTGCACTAACACTGTACTGCTTTTATATGACATTTTAGGTGTTCTATACAAATGAAAGAAAAAAAAAAGACATTGGATCTACGTGTATACAAAAAAGCTAATGTTGCAAACAATTTTTGGACTTTTAAGTCTACATATACTACATTTTAGAAGCTATTTGAGCCAACTACTCAGATGTAAGCTATACAATGAAGGTCTGTATACCATCCCAGACCAACATTGGTAGTCTGAATACTTACAAATGCCTTACTAGCAAGGGCTAAGAGTTCTAGCTTTTTACCTCAGTTGACAGATCACTTGACTAGCATGCAGTTAGCTTTGGACTCAAATCCAAGACAAGGATAGATATCATGGAAAACAAAATACAACATTGGCACCCAACTAATGGCCACCCTATGACAGATCACTTGACTAGCATGCAGTTAGCTTTGGACTCAAATCCAAGACAAGGATAGATATCATGGAAAACAAAATACAACATTGGCACCCAACTAATGGCCACCCTATGACAGATCACTTGACTAGCATGCAGTTAGCTTTGGACTCAAATCCAAGACAAGGATAGATATCATGGAAAACAAAATACAACATTGGCACCCAACTAATGGCCACCCTATGACAGATCACTTGACTAGCATGC